GGACTCTGATACCTCTATTTCCACAAAAGTAAAAGCCTATTTCAACTGCAGTGTCTCTGTATGCTGGTTTGTGTGTTCTTCAACACAACTCTCACAACGCTTCTCTGAACGCACTCACTCTCCCAACAGGGAGCTTACCTAACAAATTCCAAATCACGGTTTGTTGAACTAGCCACAATGATCTTTCATTGCTGTTTGCTGCACCACCTTTAATCCTTTCCAAATGGTACAGGGCCATTTGGTTTTCATAGATACCAGGAATATCATAATTAAGAGCTTTTTTCCCCTTGTTTAGGTCTGACTTTAGAGTAAAGGTTCTCTTCGCACATATGTGCTAGTCGTCCTGACTCTAGGGGGCAGTGCTCATCTCCGTTTCAAAGCCAAAGAGCCAGCGCTGTCTGAAGACGTCTCTGTGGTCATGTGGCCGGCATGACTAAACACCAAAGGTGCACAGAACACTATTACCTTCCCACCAAAGGTGGTTCCTATTTTTCTGCTTGCATTTTTTACGTGCTTTTGAACTGCTAGGTTGGCAGAAGCTGGTACAAGTAACGGGAGCTCACTCCGTTACGCAGGCGCTAGGGATTCGAACCCCGAACTGCCGAACTTTCTGATAGATAAACTCAGTGTCTTAGCCACTGAAGTTAGAGTAGGGGAGATCCAATCCTGGCAACTTTAGGACCTGTGGACTTCAACTGTCAGAATTCCCCCATCAGCCATGGGGAATTTTTAGGGACTGCCAGAGAGAAGAGGGGGGTTACCTGTTCTCCAAAGCACCTGAAGGCAGGATAAGAAGAAGAATAGGTGGAAACTCATCAAGGAGAGAAGCAAACTGGAATTAAGGAGAAATTCCCTGACAGTGAAAACAATTAACCAGTGGAACAGCTTGCCACCAGAGTTGTGAATGCTCCAACACTGGAGATTTTAAAGAAGAGATTGGATGGCTGTGTCTGAAATGACAGAGGATCTCTTGCTTGGGCAGAGGGTTGGACTAGGAGACCTCCCGGGTCCCTTCCATCTCTTTTCTGATTGATTTGACTCCTTGTTGCCTTGGGTATTAGCTTAGAAGCCAGTGCTATAAGCCATGTCGTCATCCTGGACCTGGCTGGAATTAAACTAGGATGTGATATGTTTTGGGGCTTAATGTAACGTGTGAACCCGGCTCACTGATTCGCTAAGGGAGACAGTTTGGTTTAGTGGTTAAGACACCAGACTAGAAAGCGAGGGGATCATGAGTTCGAGTTGAAGTCCTGAAGTCATAAAATGGCCATAGTTCTCCACTTCTGGCATATGGTATAGGACCATGATGGCGAACCTATGGCACACATGCTTGAGGGGGAGCGCAGGGGTGATAATGTGCCCCCCCTGCAGCCAATTTTTGGTCCCAGGAGGCTTCAGGGTGGCCTACTATGCCCAAAAGGGGGGGAGGATTGTGGCCGCCCCACTCTGTGGCCTGTTTTTGGTCCCAGGAGGCTTCAGGGAGGCCTACTAGGCCCAAAACGGGGCATGGGGATTGTGGCAGGGCCCACTCTGTGGCCTGCTTTTGCTCCCAGGAGGCTTCAGGGAGGCCTACTAGGCCCAAAACGGGGCATGGTAATTGTGGCAGGGCCCACTCTGTGGCCTGCTTTTGCTCCCAGGAGGCTTCAGGGAGGCCTACTAGGCCCAAAACGGGGCATGGGAATTGTGGCAGGGC